ATGACAAAGCAAAAATATTCAAGTTTAGCTGTCAAAGAAGCGGTATTGCGTGCAATTGAACAAGGCAGAACTACAAGAGGCATATTGGATCAGTTTGATATAGGAAAATCAACAGTAGCTGATATATATAAAAGATATAAAGAAAGAAATAACAATAAAATCTTTCCAAAGTCAGGAAAGCATCGAATTACATCTGAAAGACAAGATAAAATTTTAGTTCGTGCTGCAAAAAATAATTCACGCAAAAATGCTGTCTTGTTGAATGCTGAAATGAAAGAATTTTATAATGTAAAATGTAGTGTTGACACAAACAAGTATTGTTTGAGGTCTGCAAATCTATTTGGAAGACGTCCTGCAAAGAAACCTTTCATTTCCATGAAGAATCAATAAGCACACTTGATACTTGCTAAGGAACATTTGATTCGGTTAAATGGTCAAAAGTACTTTTTAGTGATGAATCTAAGGTTATTTTATTTTGATCTGATGGTTTTAGATATGTTCATCGACCAAAAGGCCATAGAAACTATCCTAAATACCAGCTCCTAACAGTAAAGCTCGGGGATGGAAACATTATGGTCTGGGGTAGCTTCAATAGAGGTTGTGTCGGTCCTATCCATTTGATTGACGACATAATGGACAAAAATATGTACAAAGATATTAATAAGTATGTTATGCTACCAAATGCTAAAGACAAAATGCCTCGAGGATGGATATTTCAGCAGCACAATGACCCAAAGCACATATCAACCTTTGTGATTCTTTTCCAAAATCAAAAAAATTCGATTAATGGAATGGCCTTCGCAAAGTACTGATCTTAATCCTATTGAACATCTATAGGAACACCTTGATCGACAAATTTCAGGTCGTAAACCAACCAAAAACATTTATTTAAAAATCTGAAGCAAGCATGGGAAAAATTGACAATAGCGTGATTGTGAAGCTGGTGGACTCAATACCTTGTCGCTGTCAAGCAGTAATCAATGCCAAGGGTTTCCCGACGAAGTATTAAAAAATTTACTTCAAGTTACAACATTTTATATATATATAATTTAAAAAATGTTTAAAGAAAAAACATACTTTAAGTATTTTTTTCTGCCCGGATACTTTTGTACGTGTATATTTTAATAAAATAAACTTTTAAGGTTACATTGCTTAGATTTAGTAAAAATTCATTTGTTTTTAGAATTGTTATCAATTATTTGACATTCCAGTGAAAATTTGATTTTTAAATTTTCACTGAAATTTCAGTGAAAATTTAAAAGAAATCTCAAGTTATGTGCTTGTTCGGTTACTTTTACACGCTACTGTACACTTATTCACATGCGCTTATCACAAACACTTATACGCAGATATACATATCTTTGGATTTATTAACTAGATTAGATTTAGAAGAATTGGAATAGGTTACTTTTAAAAATATAGATCGAACGGAGAGCTTTTAGGTTATAGGGAAGGTTGTTCCAAGATTTTATAGTTTGGTTTTTTATGTCCATAAGTAACAAAACGGTGTTTTAAGACTGTTAGGTTCAGATTATCAACTGATCGAAGATAGTATCTGTTATTTGCATTTTTGGGGAAGAAATTGTTGATGAAAAGAGTTAGCTTTTTGTGTTGGAGATTCCAGACAAACTGGCAATTCAAGAATTGAATAAGATTACATAGTTTAAGGATCTTAGAAGCAAGATAAAGCACATTAAAATTGAATTTGCAATTCCTTTATTATTTTGAAAGTTTTATTTTAAAGATGGGATATCCTTAAAACTGCTTGTGTTAATATTGTTCCTATATTTAACAAGGGTATTGTATATATGAACCAAAACTGGAATGATATATATTTAATAGTGTTTCCAGTTTGCCATAATGGCGAACTTTCTTTTTTTCTTTTATTCCATTTGATCTACTTAATTTTTATGGCTAAGTCTTTAAGATGGGATACATACATTAGGTTGGAGTCAAATATAATTCTAAGATATTTGATTGAGTTTACAGAAATGATTTTGTAACCACTTAATCAAAAGTTTAAGTTTTTATTGATTTTTGTTTTATTGAATTTGAGTATGGCCAATTCAATTTTGCTACAGTTAAGAGAAAGCTTATTTGAACAAAGCCACTACACTAGATTGGCAAGATTATCAATAATGAATTTTTTGAGTTATTAAGGTCATTGAGTTATTAAGGTCATTAGTTTAAAGAAGAAAAAGTAGTTGTCCTAATACTAAGCCTTGAGGGACACCGTTAGAACAATTAATTTAAGTAGATTTTGAGTCATTGACTGAGACAAACTGAGATCTGTTGTGAGGATAGGAAATAAACTATTTAAGAGGTATTCCTCTGATTCCATAATATTTAATTTTTTTGAGTAGAATATAATGATCTACAGTGTCGAAAGCTTTTTGTAGATTTACAAAGACACTAAATGCCAAGTTTTTATCATCAAGAGCTTTTCTAATTGAGAATTTTCTAATCTAGAGTGAGTTGTGAAATAATTAGCATTAAACCCATACTATTGTTTGTAAAGGCATTTAAATTTATTCAAAAATGCATATAGCCTCTTATGTATAGCTTTTTCAAACAATTTGCTAAGGTTAGAAAGAAAAAAGATAGGTCGGTAGTTAGACATATCCATAGTAGATTTTTTTTTTTAATATTGAAATGAATTCAGCAACCTTGAAAGTGAATAAAGCATTTTGAAATAAGTTATTTATAATAATAATGAGATGTTTAGAAATCATCTCTGGAATAAGTTTAAGAAGAAATGTAGAAAAGCTATTAGGACCGAAGCTTATTCCAGTTCTAAGAGTGATTTTAATAAGATTAGAGATTTCATTTTCTGTGACAGGATTAGTAAAGAACGAGTTAGAATTCGGAGAGTTAAGTCAGTAAATATGTATGTTGGAAGGTATGATTTTGTTTTGAAGTTTGTTTTGGAAAGTAACCAAAGAGTTGTTTAATATATTCGATAAAGTAGTTTTATCTGTCATGATATTTTCTTTTAATTGAAGTTTGAGAGTTGACCTATAGTAGTAAGGTTTTATATTAATGATTTCTTTTATCCCTTTCCAAGTATACTTAATATTGTTTAGATTTTTACTGAAATAAGTTGTGTTATAAAATTTTTTACTAATTTTTAATAGATTGCTGATTTTATTTTTATAACATATTTAAATTTAAAAAATTTAAAAAACAATTCAATTTTAGTACTAATATCTCTACATTTTGTGGATTTTTTATAAAGTGTGTTTTTAATGGATATAGATCTAATGATTCAGTTCAGTGAATCGTTCATCCAACCAATGTATGGCTACTTTTATTGTCTCATTGAAAAAGTTTATCCGTAAACTTTTCATTGTTTTAAACTGCGTTTTGTTTAGCTGATTCGTAGAGAGATGTTTTTTTGTCTTTCTCATTCGAGGTTGAGGCAGCACAGTATTAATTTCACAGCTAGATGCAATTTTCTGAGCTTCAAGTAACACACTGTCAAAATTATTTCTAAGAGCATGGAGAGCTTCTTCTAGTGCCTTCAAAATTTCAGGTAAATGGTTCCTAACAACTTTTACACTTTCTATTTGAGATTCCCAGCGTGTCTCACTCCATTTCTTTATTGTAGCTCCAACACATTGTTCCATGATTGCCCATTTATGTAGTAATGCTGAGAAAAATGCATACTAGCGTTGATGATATCCAAGAAACAATTTTGTGGATGCATTGTATTTGCCTGCATCATAAACAGTAAGATTTAATGAATGGGCACCGCACGGAGAGAAGAAGGGTTCTCTTCCAGAATTCGTGCTTGCACTCCTTTGATGCAACCTTTCGTGTTGCTTCCACTGTCATATCCTTGTCCTCTGCAGTCATCAATATTTATGTCGTTTTCAGTAAGAAAAGTTGTAAATAATTTTGTAATTCCTTCACTTGTTTGATCTTCAGTTTCCGGGAAGCCTAAAAAATATATTTTAACTCTACAGAACTTTCTGAAGTTTCGACAAAACCATTCCCATGGGCAAAAAGGTTTTCTTCACTGCCACGATAAAGCCATATTGTGTTTTGCCAAATATTGAATATTTTCCACAATTCTCTCTTACTGATCGCTAGTATTGCTGTTCTTGCTTGAAAGATACTCTGATTCTGTTGATACATTGTGCTGTTTTCTTTCAAGCGATTTTCCAACTCCTTCCATTTTTTTCAGGAATTGTTGTACGCTTGTTAACGATCATGCTCACTTAACATGGAATAATTGTTTTTCCAATCACAAAAGCCACTGGTACTATGTTTTTGGTTATCGACACTAAACAACTTACAGCAAAACTAGTTTACAGCATCTGCTTTTTTTTAAGTATACAAGCAATGATCTTATTTCTTCATCAGTCCAGTCTGCAGAATCTGAAGAAATCTCGTCAAGAGATTTCTTCAGATTCTGCAGACTGGACTGATGATTGTCTCACCTCCGAAAACAATTAGTTCTATCAGGACCAATACAGGTAAAGGATTATGCTTTCTCAAAGAGTTACTTTTCCTTTCCAAAGCAAAACAAAGATTTTGTGCTTCAAACTGCAATAGATTCCTGACAAATGATCAAACCATAATAAGATCATTGCTTGTATACTTAAAAAAAGCAGATGCTGTAAACTAGTTTTGCTGTAAGTTGTTTAGTGTCGATAACCAAAAACATAGTGCCAGTGGCTTTTGTGATTGGAAAAACAATTATTCCATGTTAAGTGAGCATGATCGTTAACAAGCGTACAACAATTCCTAAAAAAAATAGAAAGGAGTTGGAAAATCGCTTGAAAGAAAACAGCACAATGTATCAATTTGTCCTATGCTATCAAATTGTCCTATGCCCCCACCCACAGACGGTGAGGCCCCAGGCAGTTGCCTGGTTTGCCAATTAGTAGGCACGGTCCTGATTCATGGTTTCGGTTTAAGTTTAACTTGCTGCTGAGTTTTTGTTTAGAGCATCTTGGTTTAATATGTTTTCAAATGTCTTTAAAAGAAAACTTATAGATTCATTAACATCGTCATTTTTTTTAATATAGAGATCCCAGGTAATTTTGGAGACATCTTCAATAACTACATTTTTGTTAAAGTTCCTGAAGCATCATCTGCAAGGTATACCTTTTATAGAGTGGTTAGTTTTTCTAGGAATGCAGATAAATTGTCTAATATGATCAGATATTGAAATAGTAAGATTGCCAGAGATTTGTCAGGCGAATTAAAGTTTATAAAAACGTTTTCATTAAGAGTCTGTGGTTTAGCTATTATGCGTTTTAGTAGAATTTTAACAGTCTGAAATAAAAAAGAATAAAGCGAGTCAAGGTATCTAGATATGGAATATAATTCATTATATCTTAATAGATCCATATTAAAATACCTTATAAGAAAAATACTTTTTTTTCGATATTCAACTTAATCTAATAGTGGAGTTAAATAATTAGGCCCGGATGGTTGGTAACTCTGGACACTTGATGCGCAGCCTAAAAATACAATATACAATAAAAATACTATAATATACAATTAAAATGCAATATACAATAAAAAATACAAAGATTTTATGCAATTTTACTACAGTACTGGTGAAGAACTTTATATATAAATTGATTTCAGTGTTAATTATAAAGAGTTGAACATTAGCATTTTTTAAAGAAGTAAATTTGTACCGATTGCAAAACTAGCTTATATGATCCATGTCAATATATGAATTTCAAGATGATTTTGTTTTCATGCTTTGTTTCAACCTTAGTTTTGAGAAGACTGATATGTTTTTTTTTATTCATAACTCTAATAAAACTTCATCCTTATACCATATAACACTTTT